ATGTACCTTTCCTCAATAATGATGTGATGAATGTTTTTGAAAACTATGTAGATTGTTTTGATCTAATCAATCTCTTAATCATTCAATTTTCACACTCTTTAGATCAAATGTTGTTAATTGATGATGGAAATTATTATTAAATATTCATTTTATAAAGAAAAGTATATTTTCAACAATCAACTCTATAAATCTTATCTGAATAGTATAAAAATTGAGAAACTAATTAATTTCAATAAAAGTATTAAAATAAAAGCATTTTTAAATTAAAATTTTAAAAATTGACTAAATTTTGATAAAGATATTACTGTTAATTTGTTTGCTCTTATAGATTAAGTAAAGTTATCATTTTACTATTAAGTGATAAGTATTGAAATCTCTACTTATAATTAATTTTTTATTTATTGATAAATTAAAAAAACTCTATTTACTTTTTAGCTATTATTATTCTCTTGTAAAAAATTTTAATTATAGATATTAACTAGCTAAATAAATTTAATTAAATTAAAATTATTTCTAATATTATCAACTAGAATATTAGAATCTAAAATTATATTATATCTTAAATTGAATTGAAATCTTGAACTAATTTTAAAATATATAATTACTTTAGATTTAAATTTATTTTTTTCTGATTAAAAACAATAATAATTAAAATATAAAATATAAAATTGATATTCAATATTTAAATTTTCTTCTTATACTAAAATGAAGTTAATTTTCTAAATAAAAGCTATATTTAAATAAAAGTAAATAGAAATATTACTTCTTTCTATATTATTCTATAAAAATATAATTTTAAAAGAAAATTTTTACTTTTTTTTATTTTTTTATCATAGTAAACATTTAAATAAATATATTAATAAATATTATTTTTTTAGTATTAAGATTTACTATTATTAATAATTATAACAGCTTCTATAGAAATAAATTTTTAATATCTAAAACTAGTTATTTTTATAAAAGTAATTAAATTGATAATCTATTTAATTTTTACTGAAGACTTTCTAATGATTTTTTTACTTGAGAATTTCTTTTTTTAATTCTATTTTCTAACTGAAAATTTACTTTATTTTTATTAGAAAATATTTTATTTCCTCAGTTCTTTTTTAATACTTTATTTTTTTATCCTTTAAATAGAAAAAGTAAATTAAAGCTGTTGATATATAATTTTTCTTGCAATTTTTATATTTAATTATAATATAAGAACATGATTTACTCTTCACTTTATATATGATATAAGTGTAATTTATTATATTATAATTTTTTTTATAAATCTCATATACTATAGAGTATATATAATCTTTTATAAAATATTCTTATTTTTAATATTTTTTTTTATTAAATATTAGTCTTAACTATAGATTTAAATTTAATATATTTAAAAGTTTTTAATATTTGATCAACTATGAAAAATAATGAAATTTTTATCTATTCTAAAAAATTAATTATAATTAATAATAATTTTATTTTTTTTATCTGATATTAGATTTACATAGTCAAATAAAATTATTTTTAAGTTGAATTAAAGAATTATAATTTTTTATTTCTTTCTTTAATATTATAATATTTTCTTTATAAGTAGAAATTTTATTGAAAATATTATAAATAATTAATTTTTCTTATTTTTTATCTTTATCTTATTTAATCTCTACTTTTAGTTTTTATTCAAGTAGAAATCTTTATTTTTTCTCATTTTTAATAAGAAAGTTAGCTAATAATTCAGACAATATAATAATTACTACAGCATTTCTAATAAAAAAGTATTAATTATAGAAATTATTTTTTTATTTATTATTATTAAGAGATATTAATTTAACTTATTTCTTAAATTAAAAATTATTTTTAAGCTTTGAAATTAATTTATTTCTTCTCTATTTGAGAGTTTTAATATAAGATATTATTTTCTTAACTGAGTTAACTTTTTTTATTTAAAGTTTTTCTTTTTTTTAATTTTAAAGTTTTTTTTCTTAGATTTTGAAACTTTCAAAAACATTGATTAAGCAGAAGTAGAAATAGAAATAGTAGTTACTTATACAAAATTAAACTTCTTAACTATATTCTATACTACTTCTAATTGAATCTGAATAAAAATTTTCTGTTTAAATTAACTAGTTTGAAACTAAAGTAAAATATATCTAATTAAGCTGATTATATTCACTGTAAACTTGATAATCTTATGAATTTGCTTTGATAGTAAAATTAAAATATTAATAATCTTCTAATTTTTCTTTTTATTTAATTGATTTTTTAACATAAATATTATAAAATTATTTATTAATTTAATTTTTTTTAAATTTTTTAATTATTTATTCAGAAAGTTTATAATAGATTTTTATAAAAAATTTTTTCTTTGTTTCAAATATAGAGAGCGGTTTCTTCTATGTTTCAACTTTTATCTATAGTTTTTATATGTTTGATTTAATAAGCTCTGATAAAATTTTTCTGATTTACTACTAGTTCAGTAATTAGATTAGATTTTTTTAAAATATATAATAAACTAATAAAATTTTAATAAACACTTTTTAAGATACAAAAAGATAAAAAAAAAAATACTAGTTATTAAAAAAAAACTAGTAAAAAAAATGCAATTTTTTATAGAAAAATTGCTAAAAATTGACTAATTTTATCTATATTAAAAATTTTTTCTTCATATAAGTAGTATATAGCTTAATCTTTCAAAATAAATATAAAATCAATATGTATATTTTCATTA